GAGGCGGGCGGGGAGACAGGGAAGGCCGTGTGCGGCACAGAGCACTGTGCTTCTCACACATTGCCAGTTTGAAAATATTTTGAAGGAGTCAGACTCCGAAATTTGCGGCTATGAAACTCCTCCCGGCGGGAGAGTGTCGCCAGAACGCCGCATAAACGGCTCTAGATGTTGAAATTTAGCTGAATTACATTTGCATACAGAATTAACATGTTCACAAAAACATTTTACTGGACATTCCACCTTTTAAACATTCTATCAACCAGTCGCAAAGATAAAATTATCCGCGAGTTCTGTGAAGCTATCAGTCGACTTTTCAACAGCCGAGAAACTGGTTGCGGGGGAAGGGAAAGGGAAGGACGGGGCATATTTCGCCCAAAACTGGTGTGGGCGCGCTGTGTACTCGGCGGGCGCGGCGGGGTGGGGCCTGGGGCCCGTGGGTCCCCGCGGTACGGCGCGACGGTACGGGGCGGGCAGTGCGTCTGCCTGATAAGCCTATAGCCACGCTAGGGCCTCGCTCCAGTAACCTTGCTCTCGATGCAAGGGCCCGACTCGCACACATGCACAATTGCATGCGTTGCAGACGCAGTACGGCGCTCGCCAAAAATAATTAAGTCACCTCACCACAGTTTTGAAGACACGCATCACGCGATCAAGCGGCGCCACGAGATTCTAGGCGAGACTTCTATGGATCAGTAGTGAAGTTGTTCGTCTCAAAAGCGCGCGCGCCAGAGAGTGCTTCCTCTAGTTTGGTCGGTCGGTCGGTCGGTCGTGGCGAGGTGCCCGAGTGTGTGTGGCGACCCAACCCCATGCAGTTTAGGGATAATAACCCGTCATTATTTGACAACACTCGGGCACATACACACTGATGTGGGACGTCCTATACGACCTGTCCCCGCGGCCCTCTGCTGGCGTCACGGCCGAGCCCAACTCTGTCACGGCCAAGGACCTCTGCCACGGCAGAGCAGGCAGCCGTGCCGGCGACCGGGGCAGGATGGGTTGCCTACTCGCCGGGCGGCCCGTCCGCGTGTGGAATCGCGTGACAGCGCAGCGTGAGCATCGGCCGCGCCAAGAACGGCAGACTTTTGTCTCAGTATTTAGCGGCGGTGTGGGCGGGGCGGGGTGGCGGCACGGCGGGAGCGCACAGAGAGGATCCAGATCTGAGGCCGGGCCAGGTGCACGTCGGGCAGGGCCTTTAGTAGGTCAAGCGTAGCGGTCGGGGCCCTTGGGGCGGCCGGGGTCGTGCGTGCCCCTAGGAAGGAGGGGGAGGAGGGTCGGTTCCGCATTACACATATGATGTGACCCCAACTCTTCCGTGTCCGGGTTGAGTGTTTGTGTGTGTGTTGTGTAAGGCGAGCCCCGTTCCGTGACCTACTTTTCAGTTTTTTCCCTCCCTCTCTGCGGGGGCGGGCCGGGTCGGGCCGGGTCGGGCAGGGTCGCGGTCGGG